TCAAAGCGTCAAAATTCATGAAAATTGATTTTTCTAAAATAATTTTCACGGAGGAATATTGAGTGACATTTAACGTCCAGATGGATGGACCAAAGGATAGATTTTATCCAATTTAGACATGCCTGTGGCTAAAAGAAGGCAACATGGAGGCGGTAGCTTTATGATATCGGCTGGAATTGTCGACCAAACCATTATTTGTTCTATTATTGGTGTTGATCAATTTTTCATGATTTTATCAAATTTTAATGACGTAAAATGTAATTATTTGGTTTGCCTAATAATATCAGACGGCCGTTTTTATTATAATACATCAAATAGCTTCAATAATTTCAATAAAATATATTGGCACTACCTAAAATTTTAACCCAGGCTTTGTGCTGACACCTAAATTGATTTTTGAAAATTTGACAATTTTTACAAACTAAATTTGAATTATTGAAGTTTTGCATAATAATTTAAGACAGTAGATAGATAGATAGATAGATAGATAGATAGATAGATAGATAGATAAAAACAGACATAGATATAGATAGATAGATAGATAGATAGATAGATAGATAGATAAAAACAGACATAGATAGATAGATAGATAGATAGATAGATAGATAGATATCAATAGATAGAAAAAACAGACCTAGATAAAAAAAATAGATCGATATATAGATAATGAATAGAATTAGATATATAGATAATGAATAGATAGATAGATAGATAGATAGATAGATAGATATCAACAGACATAGATAGATAGATAGATAGATAGATAGATAGATAGATAGATAGATAGATATGAACCGATTGAGATACGAATAAACATAGATATGTATAGATTGAGATAGATGTTAAAAGAGTTAGTTTTTATTTATTAATCCATCTGATTTTATCGCTTTAAACATTATTTTTGTGGATACTCACATTTGAGCAGATTAATGATTCACAACATCGTGTGCATACCCTACCGGTAGGGCATGGTAATGTTTTTTGTGAGGCATGCGTAGGATGTGCACCCTTCTGCTTACTATACCAACAGAATAAGCGGGCAATTTGAGAATGAGTTATTAACAGTGATTTCTTTTCTAGTGAGCTCAAATTTCATTTTGCATTATTATTTCATGATTAAAATGATCAAAATATATTACAGAATAACATTTCATTCAAATATTTTATATTTCTGCCTTTCAGTTCTATATATTTTGAAACTACATGTCTTTTAATGTTACTCTTTCGTGGACGCCATGTTCTTTGGAGGTTTGTTTAGAGACCAAGTTAATGGCCTTTTTAAGCATCCTTCACGTGAATTGCAGTAAAATATTTAATATGCAAGAATGAAATATTACAGGGGGGGGCAACAGAATTTTAGAAAAACCAAAGTGGGGCATGACCCAAAATCGGTTGGAATCCACTGGATTTGATGCTGATATTTTTATTTCAATTTTTAAACTGTATATTCATTATCGTCTACCGTCTGAATATTCAAGAATCTGTAAATACATATTAGACGTACCAGACGAAGTGATATATATATATATATATATATATATATATATATATATATATATATATATATATATACAGGTAAAAGGAGAAATATATGAAGTATGATTCCACTGTACATAATATTTAATTTAAAAGAGGGCTCAATACAGAGTAGAACTAAATATAAATATTATTTATTTTAGGATATTAAAATACGTTAAAAATCGACACATAATGGGAATTATGTTTGAAATTTAATTCATCTTTCACTCGTTATCTGGTTAACATAGCCCGAGGAGACACATTTGTAGTTTTGAAACATAATTACCATTATGTAGCGATTAATGTTTTAATATCCTAATCTATATATATATATATATATATATATATATATGAAATGGATAAAGTCCGAGAATAATTTAAGACATTTTTTATGTTTATGCGTTCTTTTTATAGATACAAATATTTAAGTAAATGCTCTGTTTATAATAATCAGTTTTAACGACATTTAGTGCCCTGAAAGTCCGAGGAATTTTCATAGAAAATATGCCTCCTCCGACGGGAATCGAACCTGTATCCTATAAAAAGAACGTATAAACATAAAAAATGTCTTAAAATAATTGTCGGACTTTGTTCATTTCATAATGTGTGACGTCATTTGCTTACATTTGGATACGCATTGGAACAGATAGTGGTACGAGAGAAAATCATGAAGAATTATAGTTTAAAATTAGTAAAATCGACCTTGCTAATCGAAGGCTCCTCCGTGGCTCAATCGGTAAAAGCACGTCAGGCTATATGACGGTTCCGTATAAGATACAGGTTCGATTCCTGTCGGAGGACGCATATTTTCTATGAGAATTTCTTGGACAGTCAGGCTGGTAAATGTCATTTATACTGTTTATTTTCAACAAAACATTTACTTAAATATTTGTATCTATAAAAAGAACGTATATATATATATAGATATAGATATATATATATATATATATATATATATATATATATATATATATATATATATATATATATATATAGAGAGAGAGAGAGAGAGAGAGTTAATCTAACATTGCTGACAAAGGTAACATGGCCGTTAGTCTCGAAAACTAACTCCAATCTATAGTTGACTGGGGCAGGATATGTCTTGTTAATTTTAATGCATCCAGAACGAAACTGCTGTCATTTACTCACCATAGAGAAACCTTCCTGTCTTCTTGCTGCATGGTTGATGCTCAACTCCACGAGACTGCTCCTTCGTGGTCTCACATTTTCCACTGACCTGAGATGATACAACTATATTGAATCAATTGCTGCATCTACTGCAAGGATAGTTTTTTTTTTCTCACCGTCGCGCCAGAAGGTTTTTCTCGCCTGAGACCATCCTTCACATCTACAAATCTACCATTCGTCCATGCTGTTGCAATATATTGTCTGGCGCACCATTTCGAGGTTCTTTGACAAAATCCAAAGACAGATATACAATGTGATCAGTCTGACTTGGGGTGACGACGCCAGTCACTTTCTCACCGACGTAATGTGGCTTCCCTCTGTCTTTTCTATAAATATCTTTAAGACATCTGCTGTAACGAGCTATTTTCACTGGTGCTCCGACGGCATGCATTTAAGCGCGCTACTGGATTGGCATTTAGGTTCCACCATTTTACTGTCGAAACAGTTAAATGCAACCGTCACTTCCACTCCAACAGCTTCTTGTCTCGCACTTCCTGGCATTGAAAGTCCCACCCTCTTAGTTCAATGGAATGTCAATCGGCATCTTCTGTAGCCTTGCTCCCCACTTTTCTTTTCTTTTTTATCTTCGTTCTTCTTTTTTTTTTCTCAATCCACTATAGCCAGCCTTTTCCCATACTTACACTCTCTGTAGCCCCTTGCATACTAGGGCACTCACGCCTTGCTTGGAGTGTATTGCTCATATATATATATATATATATATATATATATATATATATATATATATATATATATGTGTAAGCAAATATATGGATATAGATCCGACAGTATGAAGAAAAATATATACGGAAAAAAAAAAAATCCTTATATACAATTATGCAATTTTGATTACGTGAAGATTTTAAAATATTTTCATAATAAAAAAATCTTAGGCGGATTTATGAAGTAGGCATAATATCCATCTCACGCACGGTGAATATTAGACCTGGTTTCTTTAGTATTTCCCCTTTTCTAGCGAGATTAATGCTCGACAAGCGTACATATAAATTTTAGTTCAAAATAGAATTATTTTCATTTTTTATTCAAAATACTCAAATTTTAGGAATACGTTTTCACAGCGTCGCCCACGTGACGACAACGTGACCATGTTTTAAACGGAGCGCTAATCTTATAAAACTTTCAGTTATCTGTTTGGATAAGTCTTGTTCTTATGTACATCGTCTTTGTCATGTTGTATTGATAATGTTATAATTTATGAATATGTCCTGAAGATGATTTATTAGACCGAAACATCCGACGTTGACATATTAACATTAAAACAGCATAATTGTATATATGATTTTGTTTGTTTTTTATAATTTTTTTTCATATATATATTATTATATATATATATATATATATATATAATTATTTTTAAAAATATGATTCCATCGCTACACGGGAATTACCATGTTTCAAAAAAGTAAAAAAAATTCCAATTCAATTATAGAAATTAAATTTAATTTCAATAATTGAATTGGTTCTTTTTCTATTTTATCTATATATTTTACACACACACACACACACACACACATATATATATATATATATATATATATATATATATATATATATATATAAACTCCGTTTTCATATTATCATTATAATGCTCTGTATTTACACTGAGCCTCCTAGATTTATATCCTCCTCGAATTATCGCTTCCAGTCACAAAACAGGTAAAACTTATATATATATATATATATATATATATATATATATATATATATATATACAAAGTGTGTGTGCGTGTCTGTGTTTGTGTGAGTGTAGATAGATAATCTGTATATATGAACGAAACGATAATGAAGCAAAAATTCTTTAAGTCATCCTGTGAATATTTTTACACGGATCCAAACGATCTCTCACACAAATAAAATTGTTATAATGAGAAATAAAAGACAAACTCAGAACGAGGCAAACTAAAAAACAAAGAAAATTTTTGTATAATGAGAAATAAAAGGACAAACTCAGAAATTTAGGTTTTCGAAAATGAATGAAACAAAGAAGAAAAAATTACGAAGAGAACAAAATTATTGTAAATACATCTAGAAAATAAGCGATAAAAATGAAGAAACGAAAAACGAAGAGAAATGAATAGAACTCAAAGCAAAATTAATAAGAACAAAAATATATTAAATTGGAAATAATAGAAAAAAATTAGAAGAAAAACTGGCTAAAAAAATTAAAAAAAAAAACTGAAAGGAAAGAGTTGAAACATCGAGAAACCAAAATGGCGAGAACGGAAAGAAAAAGAAAAAACACAAAAGAAGATATTAAAAGATGAAAGAAAAAGGAATTAAATTATAAAAGAGAAAAAGAAATAAGAACCTGGAATCTTATAAGCAAAAGAGGAGGGGTTTGAAGAAAAATAAAATAAACTGAATGAAAAAAAAAGAATGACTTCAAATAAATAAGGGTAATAGGAAAAGAAAGGGAAATGAATGAAAATTGACAAAGAGAAGAAGAAGAAAATGGATCTTAGAATAAGAATTAGAAAATAAATTCAAGAGAAATTAATGAAATCGTACGAGGAAAAGGAAGAATTAAAAGGGAAGAAAATACAAAACTGAAGAAGATAATATATGGCAGCTGAAGAAATGGATGAAAAAGACAGGATTCATTATGTAAAAAAGGAAGGAAACAAAAAAACCGAAGAAAGAAAAATAGAAAGAAAGAAAGACGATTAGAAAGCAAAAATGAGGATGACAAAGAAAGAAAGAAAAAAAAATGGCAAAGTAACACCCCCGCCAAAAAAAATTAGGTTAAAGAAGTTACCTTTGACAGAAATTTTTAAAAAAAGGTACAACAGTAAAAAATAAAATTTAAAACAAATGTCCATTATATAGATAGATATAAATAAAGATAGATAGATAGATAGATATGAAGAGATAGATAGATAGATAGATAGATAGATAGATAGATAGATATGAACTCATTGAAATCGATAGAGAGAGATGAAAATCTTGAGATAGATAGATAGATATGAACAGATAGATAGATAGATAGATAGATATGAACTGACAGAAATTGATAGAGAGATGGAGAGAGAGAGATATGATCATCTTGAGATAGATAGATAGATATATATGAACTGACAGAAATTGATAGAGAGATAGAGAGAGATGATCATCTTGAGATAGATAGATATAAACCAACAGAAATAGATAGATAGATAGATAGATAGATAGATATGAACTGACAGAAATTGATAGATATAGAGAGAGAGAGAGAAATTGATAGAGAGATAGATAGATAGATAGATGAGATCTATCTAGATAGATAGATAGAAACCAACAGAAATAGATAGATAGATATGATAGATAGACTGATAGATAGATAGATAGATAGATAGATATGAACAAATTAAGAAATAGATAGGTAGAAAAAAAGAAAGAAAGAAAGCAAGAAAGAAAGAAAGAAAGAAAGAAAGAGGATAGTACCTCTAGGAGAAGACTGGGAAAAATATACACTGAAATATTTGAATCAAATAAAAGAATAACAAAGAAAGTCGTTGAACGTTACACAACCCTCAAGTCGTCACGTTTGTGTTTAGTTTTAAATGAAATAAACTATAACTGGAAACTTTTATAAATCAGGATGACATGACATTAATGAAAATAAAATAAAATAAATAGTATTTTTTTTTTCGAAAAGAAATGAAAATTTAAACCTAAAATTGCAACAAAGGAAGTACCGAATAGATAGAGAATCACGAATCAGGAAAACGAGAATTGGTGCTGTAGCCGGATGTTGGGTACATGAAGTGTTGCGCATGCCCAGGGCTGCGACATGCGCAGTCTGAAGAAAGAGTGGGGGATCTTAATTGTGTAAAAAGTTAATACAAATAGCACAGAAATATATTATTAGTTTTTATTATTATTATTATTATTATTATTATTGTTATTACTTGCGTGTCATGTGTAAGAAGATTTCTTTGTGGAAAGGGGCAGAAATTTAAAAGATTCTTGAGCAGAAAGTAAAGGTTTCAGAGAAATTAAAATGAGAAAGGATGCCATGCGTTGAGACGTGAATTTGATTATGTATCTATTAAATATTAGCATAGTAAGCAAATATATATATATATATATATATATATATTTATCTGAGAAGATTATATATATATTTATATATATTTATATACATGAGATATATATATATGAGATCGTAGAATATACATATATATATATATATATAAATAAATTTATATATATATATGTATATATATATATAAATAAATAAATATATATATATATATATATAAGTAAACAAATATATAAATATATATATATATATATATATATATATATATATATATATATATATATATATATATATATATATTTTTTTCTTTTCATTTTTTTTTGTTTGGAAAAGTTCTGGTGATCCGCAGTCCTTTAAAAGGGCTGTGGTGAAATAATTTATTACATGGAACCTTAAAGTGGTCTGTTTTTATTTAATATATATATATATATATATGAGTTTTTCTGAGGATCTAGAATATATATATATATATATATATATATATATATATGATATATATATATATATATGAGATATATATATATATATATATGTATATATGAGATCATATATATATATTTGTCTGAAAGTTTGTCTGAAGATAGTAGAATATATATATATATATATATATATATATATATATATATATATATATATATAAAATTAAGAGATATACCGCAAAACGTTTTTTGTTGTAATGTTGATTTTTCTTTTAAAATATTATGCTTTATTTTCCATAATTTTACTACACGTGTTTCTGGTCTCGCGACCGTCATCAGGTAAAAATAATTAATTCTTTTCTCCTTTGTTTTTTTCGATGTTAAATATTCTCTATATGAGACATTCTCTTTTGTTGTGCTAGTAATCCGAATATCTTTCTTGAACTGGCAGTGAAGAGTTCTGAGCGAAGGATCATAAAACAATTGAGGTTGGTCCAAGCGAAATGATGAATTACTTATCTGTATCATATCTTTTAATCTTTTAATGACTCCTGTGTGTTCTTGGATTTATTTCCATTTTCGTTTGAGGTACCTCTCTTCTTTTTAATATACACACTTTTCTCTTGTTGAACTACTAAAACCTCTTTCCTTTATATATATATATATATATATATATATATATATATATATATATGTAGGTTTGTTTGAAGATTGCCAAGCGTGAAACCTGAGTTAAATCTCACATCCATACAACTAAGTATGTTAGCTCTATCACTGATATTGAGAGCTTTCCAATATCTACATATATATATATAAATTATATATATATATATATATATATATATATATATATATATAAATCACACACACACACACACACACACACAAGCACAAACACACAGACATGTATATATATATATATATATATATATATATATATATATATATATATATAGATAGATAGATAGATAGATAGATAGATCGATATTGTCCTTATCTTTGTCGCCATATTTGTCTGACTTGTTTCTTCAGTTGGCTTGGCCCTTCTTCAGAAGTTGGAATTTCAGACTGAACCCCTTTATTTCCGATCACTGGGGTAGACTGTTTTATCCACTGTGCCATGTCCTTGAGGACACATGGCACAGTGGATAAAGGCGTTGGTTAGATCCAGTGACAGACCCAAAAAGAAGGTGAGTTCAATTCCCTGTTAATGCAGTGGAGAACTTTCAGAGGAAAATTAGCAGGAGATAACTGATAACTGACATCCATTAAACATGGCACATGAACTAGAAACAGTCTACCCCAGTGAGCGAAATAAAGGGTTCAGTTCGAAATTCCAACCACCTGAAGAAGGCCGGAGCGTACAACGTGCCGGAAAAACGTTGTGACAAATATGACGACAAAGATGAGGACAATAGTCCGACTAATGCAAATACTGTACATAATACCTCATCTCAAAATATAGACAGACTCAGATATATATATATATATATATATATATATATATATATATATATATATATATATATACGATGAATATACGCTCTTTTTAGCACTAGAGGGCGTCGTCAGTGATGTTCTGGAAATGGATCATTGGGCAGTTTCGGGTCTTTCAAACATCATACTGACCTCACCAAATCGACCCCCTCAGAGCTGATCAGACTCTGAAACGCTCCCTAAAAAAAATGCTTGTAGACACTGACTTCTATAAATATACCCCGTTATCACACATTTGATTGGAGATTGACCAACAGCCAATCACAGCGGTGCGAACTTTATTTAAACTGTTTACGGGTAATTTTTTCTTTTTTTTCATTTTTTTTTTTGAGTGGACACCCCTTCATCGGATACTTAGAAGGTAATTATGTTTTCCGTTTTTACGCAAATCCCATCAAGCTTCATTTCACCAGCTAATAATTACTATTTACAGAGATAAGAAAAAATCGGCAATTAAAATTAATAAATAAATTACCTATAATATACTGTACATAATACCTCATCTCAGAAAGATAGACAGATACTGAAGGGCCGAAACGTTGTAATAAATATGGCGACAAAGATGAGGACAATAGTCCGAATAATGTAAGTAGTGTACATAATACCTCATCTCAGAAATATAGACAGATACTGAAGGCCCGAAACGTTGTAATAAATATGGCGACAAAGATGAGGACAATAGTCCGAATAATGTAAGTAGTGTACATAATACCTCATCTCAGAAATATAGACAGATACTGAAAGGCCGAAACGTTGTAATAAATATGGCGACAAAGATGAGGACCCTAGTCCGAATAATGTAAGTAGTGTACATAATACCTCATCTCAGAAATATAGACAGATGCTGAAGGGCCGAAACGTTGTAATAAATATGGCGACAAAGATGAAGACAATAGTCCGAATAATGTAAATACTGTACATAAGACCTCATCTCGGAAATATAGACAGATAATTTATTTTAATTCATAAATAATTATTAAATAAATTAAAGTCGATTTCAATAAACAAAAATACTCAATAGAATACTAGGATCGATTGGAATTCAATAAACAAAAAGTTCAGTAAAAGGTCAGGGTATTTAAATCATTTGTATTCTAATGAAGATTACAATCAATGGGAAAACTTGTGAAAAAGTAAAAGATGCCCTCCTGAACTTAACCCATAACCCCCCCCCCTTCCTCCTTTGTTGACAACTCCTGCTCTAATACTTTACAAGAAAGAAGTACAAGACTAATATGCTGGTAGTTAGAAGTATCAAATGGTTTACCTGAGTTCTTAAGGACTGGAACTATTGAAGAGGATTTCCAATAAGCAGGAAAGTTAGCATCAGCAAAACATTTATTGTTGGGTTTAGAGAGAACAGCAACCAGTTCTTGAGAAGATTTCTTCTTAAGGACTATAGTAGAGATACCATCAAGTCCACATACATTGTAGGGATCAAGTTTAGGGATGATGGCACAAACCATGGACGGAGTTATAAAGGGTGTTTCATTAAGACGGATCAAAGTCAGAAGTAAATAAATAAGTGTTATTGATGAAAATTTATTTATTTCTCTATTGGATAATGTTATTTAACTCATTGTAATTATGTGTGAAAAATAATATCGCCCAAATATCCGCCAAGGCTTCGGTGGCACACTTCCATTCGATGGTCAACATTTTTGATGACGTCTCTGCATAATTGCTTTTTGATCTCATCAATATGCCTTATTATCTCATCCTTCAGCTGTTGAATTGTTTTTGGCTTTCCGAGGTGGAATAAAAGTATCGATGCCGGCTTTGTTCGAAGAACGAACGTCTGTGACGCATTTCTCAAAATTAGACGTGAAAATTACTCCAATGTGGCTACAGTTTCATTTGTAAACAGCACAATAAAAACCAACGTTCATGATGGCAATTATTAGAAATTTAACGTATCCTAAGACATTTGCAAGCTAAAGTATATGCATATATCAGGCTCGTGTAGAATTCGCTAAAAGGTTTTTGGATCAGTTGAATTATTACTGGAATAATATTATTTGGTCAAACGAAAAAAAAACAAATTAAATTTACAACAGGTTGGGAGAAAAAAATGAGTACATAGAATCAAGGGGGAAAATATGCTGGGTTTGAACAGAACATTTTATGGTGTAGCTCTGGGTCATAATATAATGGAAAACTCTTAAAGGTGGAAATGTAACGTCGCAAATATCAGTCCATTCCATAAAACCTTTTAATTTCTCCTCATGCGTTTCGACTTAGAGTCTGAGACGAGCATCCATACTGACGATAAGTGTGCCTTCAAGTCGAAATAGCTGTGATGATGATAAAAATTAACATCCGTATTATTTTTTGTACAAGCAGATAGATAAATAAAGAAAAATAAAATTTAACTTAATTATTAATCTTAATTTATTAATAACTAGCAGTAGATCCCTGCATTGCCCGGGGATGTAACAGTAAGAGATAGATCAAGTATCCACCATCATAAAGACTGAAAAATAAAATTGACAAAGATTATTGTTTAAGGTTGACGGACATGCATGTCTTAATTAGTTTTTTTTTTTTTACGAATTTGTCAAACCCAAACTCAAACAAAATCATTGTTTTCAATCGTTATGAGTCTATCGATTGAATAGAATAATTTTATAAACAATTGTCTTGGAAATGGAATTTTTAAAGCATTCTGAATGTAAAAATAAAGAAAAAAAGTGTGCAAGACAATAAGAAATACTACATGCCAAAAAAAAAAAAATTGAAGTTTTATTGAAATCGGTTGAAAAATGTAGGAAATCCGATCCCATATATAAACGAACACACACACACATGCACACACAC